CCAGATATACTTCTATTCCCTGAAAATATACCTACACAGATTCCATAATTTCCACACGGGCCTGCGCCTTCTTTGTCAGAAACTATGTAATCTGATAAACTACTCCTGCTAATATGCAGGCATTTGGCAGCCAAAAACCAAGTTAATTTAATGGTGGTCATTTCAATAGGATAGATTTTAATTATACAGATTTGGTCTCTCAAATATCACTATATAAAAACTATCCACACCAATTCTGTGCAAGTCTTGTTTTTTTTAATTTTAATGATAACAAGTCAGCTTAAAATATTATGTCTACTATGTTCTTTTATTTCCAATTAGTCTGAAATTCCCCAGTAAGAAAATGGCAATTGAATGAATAATAAAATAAGTATTTGCTTTATTACAAGTATTTTTAAGATTTACAAATAGGATGTCAGTCAAATACAAGTAAAATGGGGAAAAAACTGAGGCTATATTCCATCTTATTACAAAGTAAAGTGTACTTTTAATCAAACCACAATAAAAATAGATTCAGGAAGATCATAACATCAAGGCCTGTCATAAGGGGCAAGTGCAAATAAAATATACAAGGCAGTATAATACAATGGTTAAAAGGACAGGCTCTGAAGCTAGACATCAGGTTAAACCTCAAGTTCAAATCCTTTAGTATGCTCCACCATCTACTACTTAACCTCTCTGTCCCTCAGATTTAGTTCAAATCCTGGCTTCATCATCTCCTATTATATTTAATAGTAGTCAGTGTCTCAGGTTTAACAAAAAGAAAATAGCCTGATTTGGGGGGGGGGGTCATTGTGAAGAATAAATGTGAAGACATGTTGTCAAATACTTCTAGAATAATACAGTACTTGGTATATAGTTAGCAGTATACACATATTAGCTATTATTATCATGATCAACCACTCCTACTAAGACACCTTCAGGAGCTATAACAACCTTCCTCTGAATCTATCAAGTTTTTATAATAACAACCCTCAATCAAAAAGCTTCTCTTTTTTATCTGAAAAGAGCCTTCAAGTTCTAAAACCATTTCCTTTTTAAGTTCTTGGTGAATATGGAAGTTGGTGGGTAACTGGCTTCTTTACCATTTGAAGACAAGATTCTTCTTAGTCTTTTTATAATAAAATTCCCTTGCAAATATTATACAAAGGACAGGCTGCTCCACGGATCACAAACACTACAACGAGTTCACAAAGTATAATGAAATTTTGAGATTCATGAAAGAACAGCTACTGGAGCAAAAAGCTTAGATAAAAAATGATGCAGAAGTCTGTCTGCTCAAAAAATATTGAATTCTATAAAAAGACTCAGAAGGTAGGGATCTTCATGGTTTATAGTGATATCACTAAAAACATATAGAGGATTTTTTGATAAATTTTTTCTTAACTGCAAAACCCCTTATTTCTTTATAACGATGGATAAATGGCATAACAAAGACACTTTCTTCAAAAACAAATTCTGTAGAGAAGAAAACCTACAGCATCAAATTTTCAGCCATACATATCCCTTACTTAAAGCTTTAAAAATTTGAGGTATCTAGCATTCCTTGTGGTCTGTAACATTAAGAAGTAATACAATTAAGCCTCATTTCTATCAGAAAACATTATACTGAAAGAAAACTACCCATCTAAACTTTTGATTCTGATAAATTCAAAGGTAATACTATGGGTCAGTTAGGTGGGTCAGTTCCTGATAAATGAACCACAATATTTTTTAAAAACCTAGACACAAAAGAATTGTTTTAAATAATTTTATATTTGTTGAAGTCCTCCTAATGTGTTAGATATTGAGGTAGCTACTTTCGCATACATTACATAATGTTATTCTCCCAACCACCATATAGGGTAAGGATTATCGTCCTCATTTTACAAATGAGAAAACTAAGGCCCAGTGATTTGCCCATGGACACACTGCTTGTAGAAGATGAAGTCAGAACCCCAATTCAAATTTTCTGACCCCAGAGTTCAATGCTCTTGCTTTCATTGTATCATTGTATCACTTTCAAAATTCAAGTACTCTCTTAGCTCTTAAAAGGTGTTCTAATCTTTTTATCTGGGAGAGGCAAGAGTTGTGATGAGAGATGAAAATTTACTCATTATAAAAAAGACTCACTTTGCTTAATCTTACATAATTTACTCAGTGTAACTTAAATGTTTTGGTTCATGCTGTCTACCCCACAGACACCACCTTACCTTCAGATACACAGCCTACACCAAGAACTCACTCAAGAATCACCTCCTCTAAGAAAGTTTCTCAGATTAAATGACCTGTTCCCCTCCTCCCAAGCTAAAATCCTTCATCACCTCACCGCCTGTATCTAGTTTAGACTACATTATCACATACTCCTTTTGTTCTCCAGTCATGTATCTGGAACTACATTTTTTCATTCAATAACTATTGAGGAATTGTAGATTCAATGGTGAGCAAAATAGATAAGGTCCTTGCTATCACGGAGAGTTTACATTGTCTGGAACTTTAACAAAGGTAAAAACAATATAGGGTAAAAGAGTACAATGTTCCAGGACAAGGATTTCTTCCCTACACGGTCTCTAAAGAAAGCTCTCTCCCGTGCAAGCTTAACAACATTTGTCAGGGGAAAAAAATCTCTTCTATTATGTCTTCCAGATGAGACCTTCAACTTCATGCTTCTGTGAGGGTATGTGAGGGGAGAGAATCAACTTGAAAGGATAGATCTGAAACCTCTCAGAGGTTTCCCACATACTGACATGAAATCAGCACACACTGGTCCAGACATCTTTTCCTGTGCCCTACGCACAAGGAAACTATACTTCAGCCACAATTGCTCCAATCATGCACCTCTATTGATTGCTTTGCACCTAGCCACCTTCATTAAAAGTATCTTTCTCAGGGATTTTTTTATTCAAGTTGTATTTGTCTTATTTGTAGGTCATACTCATAAGACTAAGGTAGGACCTATTTCTTCTACTTTTGAATCACCTAATGCTCCAAGATCATTGCTGCATTTTCAACTTTATTATAATATAAATATTGAAACATACTAAAGGTATTAAAAGTTTTCCAAAGTTATATTTAAAAACTACATCTAAGTACTTATCAATTCTTTGTCTTTAATGCTTCAAGTAACCTGCTCTTGGAAGATTATTTATAAACTAAACCAAGTTAAAATGTACCACTGGTTAAAATCTTGCAATTCGTCCTTTAAAAAGAAAGATCCTTTTGAAATGCATAGTTTATAAATTTGTAACTTCATAATTTTTTAAATCAAAGCAAACTAAAATATAACTTCATTTGCACAGAATTGTATATTTATCCCGAAAGTATATTTCTTTTAAGGCTCTCAACTTAAAAATGAACCAAGAAACTAAATATTGTCAAATGTGTAAGTGCCATGAATGTGTTGTAAGAAACATATTTGATTGCCTCTAAAATTCAATGATATTCTAATTGAAAAAAATAGCATCTTTCCGCAGATCAGATCACAGATCAGAAACTATCATTTTTCAATGAAAGAGAAATAAATCATGACCGTTTTTAATTAAACGGGCATTTCTAAGCACCTGCGTACAAGGCATTGTGGTTCAAACAGTTCACATGGAATTTGACCGCAACAACTTAATCTCCATAATTAAAGACCTAAAAGGTAGCTCTTATGTTTCATCTGTTCCCTTTTCCAGGACTTTCAACAGGCATACCTCAGTCATTCCACACATAGTTGCTACCAAAGAAAGGAGTAACAAATATTTGAAATTTGTTGTACTTCTACAGAAGACATTTTAAATTGTATGGCCTAACTCTTCCTTCTCAAACGTGTTTTATAAAACTAGCATGATCTTAATATTTTCATCGCGAAACAGGTTCTAGCAAGCATAGAAACGGATCATAGAATTTCAACATAATCAAATTTAGATGAAACCCCATAAGAATGGAGAAAATCTAACAAGCAATTCACCCACGTTCCTCCAGAATTCCTTGCTCTCTCTGGATAAGAAGCAGCAAAAAACGGTTCTAAATGATTATTTGAAAAGACCTAAAGTGGCACTAACTTAGGGGCTAAATTTCAGACTAAGTTAATTTAAAAAACTGCCATACACAAGGCATTCTAATACCCACTTAGACGTCATTTAAGTATTCCAGCAGCAGAAAGACAAAAACTTCGTCACATTATTTATTTAAAGCATATAGCATATATCATCAGTTAGATAAGTTTACCTCTCTGTTTAAGCAGAAGCCCAAGTTACCTATCATTTCAGAAAGCATTTAGATAAATTGAAATTGGGTTATTTCCGCAACACAGATGTTTCTCATAAAGAAAAGTGTTAAATGACTTTTGTGAATGGAAAATCTGCCTATACTGTTGCTTCTCCTCAGCGGGTCATGAGTGGGTGGCTCAATGAAACCAAAAGCACGATCCAAGTGAAGCTCCCTGGAACCTGATTTCACTCTTGAGGGCTTAGAAACAAACATTAAATTTAAAACATAATAAAAGCTTTGCCTTTCCTTCTACGTTACAAGAAGGCCCTGGAAACCGAGGTTTAGAGGAACACCGCTGAGTCGCTCGGCTCTGCAAGGGCGGGTGCGGTCTGCGCCGCGCGGCACAGCCTCCTCTGGGGCTGTCACAGGAAAACCGGAGCCTCGCCTTAACCGCACCGAGCGACAAAGCGCTAGCTCCCCGGGGCGCGGGGCTTCTGGCGAAATCTTGCCGTCTGCCCCGCCAAACTTCAGGAGGGCGCAGACACCCAGGCGGTCAAAATGCTCCAACCGCCTCCCACCCGGGTTCCCCTGCCGCTGCTTTGTACGGCTGCAGACTGCACCTACTGTGGGCCCCAAAACACCACTCCCGTCAGCCTTTCCAATCCCCCAGCTCCAAAAAGGGACAAAGGAGCCAAAGAGGAACTCCTCCGCGCGGAGTGGCTAGGAGTTCCCGACAGCCCGAGCTCAGAACGTAGGGATAAGGGGGCGCAGTGTCCCTGAGGGGTGCGAACCCGCCGCCCCCCAACTCGGAACAGCGCGCCACTCACCGGTGCGGAGCCCCTGGAGAGGCGGGAACGCAGGGAGCCGGTTCCTCAGGGGTCGGAGCGGAGTCTAGGTCCGGGGCCCTGCACGCGTTGGGTCGGACCCCAACTTCTCTTGGCCGCTGTCGTCGGCGGCAGCTGGGGCGCGAGCCCAGACCGAGGGCGCTGTCTAGCTGCAGCGGAGGCGCTGCCAGCTCGGCCCGCGAGCGGGGCGGGAACTCCGGCTCCGCTGTCCACCGGCCAGAGCGGGCTCCCACCTTCCCTCTGCCTGCCTGCTGTCGGCGGCGGCTACTGCCGCTGCTAAAGCTAACGCTACAGCCGCCTGGGCTGCCGCTACCACCGCCGCCCAGCCCAGAGCTCGTCGCGGCCTAATGTTGTCATCGGCCGCGTCGCCGCCTTTCTGGGCACCCAGAGGCGCCACGATCCTTCACATTCTAGCGCCCTCCCCCTCCCGGCCCCGCCCCCTGGATCGTGGGCTTCGGACACACCCTCTTCCCGTCACGTGACGGTGCTCGGAGGCGGCGGCCGACAGGCTTCCCCTTGGGGGGGCGGGTGCGGACCGCGGGGGAGCTGCCGTCCACACCTAGGTCTGCCGAGGTGTTGTCGCCGCCGAATCGCCTCCGCACGCCGCAGGGGGGCCTCGGCGTGCGAGCCCACCGCGGTCGGACGCGCGCCTGTTGACCTGCCAGGCCTTCTGAACCGGTCTACCCGGCCCTTCCTAACCTGAAGAGACCGCACGGTGGAGCTCCCTGGTTAGGCTCGGTCTGGACCCCACCTCTGAGACCGGAACGTGAGACTTTCCTCCCCGGCCTTGGGCTCGGTTAAAGTTTTAGCCAAACAAAGGAAAAATGAAGGCATCGTAGGATGCATCTGGCTTGAAAAGCATTCAGTAACTACTTGTTCCTATTTCTAGTAGCACATTAACTGTGACATTTAATTTACTGTTTTCCTCATTAGAGGTTTTTATTTTGGGGAAAACTGGTGTATTTCAGTCACGCTGGGATGAAAATAGCCTAGCAAACTTATTTTTGTTTCTATTTATGTTAAGATTCTTCGTGCCAGTTTTACAGTCATTAAGTTATACAGTGTGTTAGGTTGGTGTCGGTTGAAAAGGAAACAGGAATTTGGCAATTCGTTCCTTCCCCCACCTCCAGATAAAACCCAATTCTTGACGTTCCGTTTTTAAAATAAAGTCTAATTGTTGAATTTTTTTTTCAACTCTTGGATTCAACCTTTTGTTTTTGCTTTTTAGGCATAATCGAAGGAATCCTGGAAAGGATAAAGTGCTAGCCACCAAAAGAAAGTAACAATACAGAAATAAGAGGTAGAAGAGCAGAATGATCATACTCAAACCCTGATAACAATGAAGGCAAATGAAAAAAACTTTCTGTAATAATTAAATTCAAGTCATACCTCATTTTCCCTTCTAGCCCCAGACTAAGGATTTTATTTTCTTAAGCAATCATTACATTTTCTTGACAAGAAGTCAGAAGGCATTGTGATTAGGTGGATCCGTTGAAATGAATAAAATAGAGGTCAGTGTATGTAAGCCTTACTATATTTCATAGCAGCTCCAAAAAATCATACACTTTAAGACTCACCATTATTTTTCCTTTCTTTCAAGAAAGGAAAAAAAGCTGCCAATTAAACTATGCCTTACCACTCATCTTTAATAGACATTTAAGACATATCTTGAATTCAAAGATGGTTCAGTGAGTCTTAGAATCTCTGAGATATTGTAATGAACTGATATTCCAGTGAGGAAAAGATTCAGGTTCTGTTCTGAAGTCCAGGAGACTGTACTCATAGTTCCGATAGACATGCGGGAAGTTTATTATTCTGTGAATGACACTATTTCAGCAAAGCTAGTAACTTCAGAGTTTTTCAACATGTTGAAACCTGTCACCTGTTTTCTAGAGCAGTGTTTTTCAAACTGTGACTCAAAAATCAATTTTATTTTTGCATGAAATAGGCTAGGATGGAATACAATAAAAAAGATCAGAGTGCATAATATCCAGCAAAGGCAAAAATTGCTTTCTGAAATTTATTGTTTCAGATATGGGGGAAGATGAGAGTGTGCCCTATGTTGTGATCTAAACTGCATTTCTTACCATGAGTTATAATCAAATAGATTTGAAAAAGAATGTTACTAGAGCATAGACAACATGCAAAATATACCATCTGGACTCTGTTTCCCTGATGTTTTTCCTTTACTTTGGAAACTGTGACTAAAGATGAGAAAAAGGAGGCAAATTGTCTTGCCTAATCCTCTCCTGCCTCAGCCCCAATTTCTTACATTGGCTTTTGAAAATTGGTTCATTTGTTGTAGTGGAAAGCAATGTACTGGAAGCAAGTAGGCCTAGATTACAGAATTAGCTAATTAGATATGTGACTAGATAAATTACTCTCTGTATTTCAAGTTCTGATAAAAGTAGGGAGTTGGACTACATACTCTTTTAAGGGATGATATTCAACTTTTTTCCCAGTGGATGACATCCACATTTGAAACAAACTGCCATGGTTTACCCAGAATCATGCAAATTCTTGACAGACTAGCTTTAACTCCTTTTAGCTCCACTCAAAAAAAAAAAAAGAATACAAAGTAAAAGTGAAGATACTGAAAAACAAATGTAAGTGTAGCTTTCACAATCTTGTATACTTTAAATATTGCTAGTAATAGTTACTTGTCAGGCATAACTATTGATTTTGACATACTTCACAACTGATTATAACACAGTAACGTATCAATACACTGCAGTTGAAAAATCAGCTTTTCAGATCCTTTCAAATGTAGTATTCTGTGATTCCAGGAAATGATCATTCAATCTAGCATTTTCAATGTGATGACAACATAAACAGAAACTGTAGTATATGATCCTGCACTGTAACTAAAAAAAAATTCAATAACTCCCATTTGCTATTTGCTATGTTAAAAGATACCCTGCAAGTTTGCTTCCCTTAAAATGATCTTAAGGATAACATTTTAAAATAAAACTTATTATAACTATACAATTTTAACTCGAATAAGAGTTCATCTCTTTTGCTTACTGCTTAATTAATTATATATTTCTAAGAATAAAAAGTTCTTTTTTCCAAATTAGTTTAAGCACTAACAGGCATGATAATCTTTCCCACAGAATTTATTTCAATCCTGACCTAGAATGACAGAGATGTGGCCTGAGGTTGTTTTTTGGTTTTTTTTCCTCTCTCTTTGGTTTATCCAGTTAGACACTATGTTGCTAAAGATTGCTAATCAGGATTTTTATCTAAAATCCTCATTTTCTGGAAGAAAATTTAGGTTAAGAGTAACCTTAAGCATAAATAAGGTATTCAAAATAGCTTTGAAGATTGATAGATTGTACTATTCTTGTTGATCATATGACTTCTTTTAGCAGGTTGTAAGCAGATTGTTAAATGCTAAATTAAAGCAGAAGCTTTAAATTTGAGTGCAACATTCAGGTCAATCTCTTTCTCTTGTGCTGCCTGCCAGGAGGAAGATATGTTCCAGATAAAATCTCAGAATTAGAAAATTTATAGAGCAGACCTGAAACTGACCCTCACTGTGGACAGCACTGCAGCTACTGATGTGAAACAAGAGTAAAACAAAAATATTTGTTGTGAATCAGGGATTTTTGAGATTGTTAAATAGCATAATCTTGCAAATCATCTAAAGTGAATTCGAGCCAACAAATTAGTGGTTCAAAGGCTAAATGTACTATGGAACAATAATATTTAAGCATCTATTTAACAAAATAAAATAATACACATCTGTAGACCAGTCCAAATAAACAGCCACCCAAAATTTATATTAAAAAGTAGTTGAATTATAAAATCTACAGATTTGCATGAAAAATATTTGCATACTGATGTTAAGTATTTCTGTTTAGTATTATTTGTCTTATATCCCTTGACGAAAATTTGGATAATAAACTAAGTGTAAAGAAGAATATAGGCTTCTGTTTCTGAATTGGGTACTTCAGTCACTGGTCACACTAAAAACAAAAGTCCTTGAAAAAATATTTATTTTAATCTTCTTAAATATGTTGATTAATTGACAATAAGATAAGGTATTATTAAGTCAAAAGACTAAATGAAGGCAGGAATCTGGAGAGTTCAGCAGAGTCTACAGCTAGCCTTTATCCCAAGGGCATATGCTAAACCCTGTTACTGTTAGCTTTGGTTTTCGTGGCCTTATAAGATACAAAACCCATGACCTGCATTACACACACACACATTCTCACATGTGCATGCACTTAGTGTAAGGATATATTAGAAATAAACTTGCCCCTTGCCCCTTATTAGCATACATACTTCTCCCCAGAATCTACAAAGAAAATTAACTATTTTAAACCTTGGCACCTAGTGGACAGGGGAAAAGCAAAATCATATTTGAAAATTTGGTAACACAATCCAATTCTCACAAAAAATGTAGCTTGAATTCCTACTACCTGGGTGATCCAAAAAAAAAAAAAAAACCTCAAGCTAATAATTTAATTAAGAATGATTTTTGGCTGATAAAGCTCTCAAACATCTGGCAGAACCAAATGCCAATCCTCTCTGTAGTAACCTATCTTCATCTTAAGCCTTAAAGAATGACTATAAATAAAATGTTAAGGAAAAGGAGCAGCTCACATTTAAAAAAATAACAGGCACAAAACAAAACAAGACATCATTAGAGAGAAAGAATATAGATATAAGACAGCAGAAACAGATTCTAAAGTTCAGGCCAAGTGTGGTGGCTCACGCCTATAATCCCAGCACTTTAGGGGGCAGAAACAGGAGCATCCCTTGAGGCCAGGAGTTCAAGACCAGCCTGAGCAACATAGTGAGATCTCCATCTCTACAAAAAAAAAAAAAAATTAGCCAGGCATGATGGTGCACACCTGTGGTCCTAGCTACTGGGAGGCTGAGGCTGGAGAATGGCTTGAGCCCAGGAGTTGGAGGTTACAGTGAACTATGATTACACCACTGCAATCTAGCCTGGGGAACAGAGCAAGAGAGACCCTGTCTTAAATAAAGTAAAATAAAATAAAATAAAATAAATAAAATAAAATAAAATAAAATAAAATAAATAAAATCATTCATATCTTGGATTTACAAGGCACAGACTATAAAATAACTATTAAATATGAACAAAGGAATACAAGACAAGCTTGAAAATGTGTGCAGAGAAGAGTATAAATAATGACTGAGGATATTTAAAGAATTGAAAAATATAAATAAAATTAAAAACTCAATGGATAAGTTTAATAGTCTATTTGACACAGCAGAAGTACAAGATAGTGAAATGGAAAGTAGAGATGAAGTTATCTTAAATGGAACAAAAAAAGAAAGAAGTGGAGGCGGGCGGATTGCTCAAGGTCAGGAGTTCAAAACCAGCCTGAGCAAGAGCGAGACCCCGTCTCTACTATAAATAGAAAGAAATTAATTGCCAACTGATTATAATATAAAAATTAGCCGGGCATGGGGCGCATGCCTGTATCCCAGCTACCCGGGAGGCTGAGGCAGAAGGATCACTCGAGCCCAGGAGTTTGAGGTTGCTGTGAGCTAGGCTGACACCACGGCACTCACTCTAGCCTGGGCAACAAAGCGAGACTCTGTCTCAAAAAAAAAAAAAAAGAAAGAAGTGAAAAAGGCTTTAAGTGACATGGGGACATTGTGAGAAGATCTAAAATAAATCAAATTATGGCTTCAGATGAAAAGGAAAAAGTCAATGGGGCAGAGGCAATATTTGATAAGATAATGATTGAAAACTTTCCAGAACTATTGAAAACCTCAAACCCACAGGCTTAGGAAGGCCCTCAAATCCAAAACAAGTTAAAGATTAACAAATTCACAGTAAGATGCATCATAGTGAAACTGTAGAACATCAAAAACAAAAAGTAAACTTTAAAAGTAGCAGATGGCTGGGCGTGGTGGCTCACGCCTGTAATCCTAGCACTCTGGGAGGCCAGGGTGGGAGGATTGCTCAAGGGTCAGGAGTTCGAAACCAGCCTGAGCAAGAGTGAGACCCCGTCTCTACTATAAATAGAAAGAAAGTAATTGGGCCAACTAATATATATAGAAAAAATTAGCCGGGCGTGGTGGCGCATGCCTGTAGTCCCAGCTACTTGGGAGGCTGAGGCAAGAGGATTGCTTGAGCCCAAGAGTTTGAGGTTGCTGTGAGCTAGGCTGACACCACGGCACTCACTCTAGCCTGGGCAACAAAGTGAGACTCTGTCTCTAAAAAAAATAAAAAATAAAAGTAGCAGAGAAAAAATACAGATTAACCTCAAAGTGTCAGGTAACTTGACTTTTCAATGAATACCAGAAGACAGTGGAATAATATCTTTAATGGGCTAAAATAAAATGACTGTCAGCCTAGAATTCAGTACTCAATGAAGAGATCTTCTAAGAATGAGGCCAAAATAAAGGTATTTTAAGGTAAGCAAAAAGCAGAGTTTGCTGATAATAGATACTAATAAAGGAAAGTCTAAAGATGGAAACAAAATGATCCCAAATGAAAGTTTTGAGAGTTGAGAATAAAAGAAGAGCATTGACAGTGTTAAGTATTTACATAAATCTAAAAACTATTGACTATGCAAAACAGTAATAATTTAAAAAATTATTTTAATAATTATGGTAAAAGAAAAGATAATCACTTATATACCTAACATCAGGTCCAACCTAATTCACATTTGTACCTATTCTTAAAGAGACCTCATCAGACCAAGTATTTTACTAATTTGTACTATTATCTCCATCTGATACATGCCTTTAAAGCAAAAACAAACATTTCCATTTATTTATTCTTCTTTTATCATCCATAGGCAACATTGTATCAATATATTGTTGGTATTTGCTTTTTAAATAATTGTACCAGGATAGTATTTTAAGTGTTTTTCTTCATAGTAACATTCTTATTTCAAATTTTCATAATGTACCAATGAAGATGATTTATTATATAATCAGACTAAGAAATTTGCATATGTTTAGGAGATCATGATTTAGAGTAACAAAAAGTAGAATTATATACTATTTCACATAACTCCAAAGTATGAGTAGTTCCCCCCATAGAAGTCTAAAAATGAAAGTTCATCATAACAAATTATATAATTATGTATTCACAGGTTAAAGACAATTAAGTCTTATTGAAAAGCTCTGCCTACTCTTTCCACCTACATTGCCTATTCAAAATTAGGTGCATGCTATGACTTGTAACACCATCTCTAGAAATAGCTAGAAATTTATGCT